TTGTTGGAAAACTTGTATTTAATGGGACATCCAGGAAGCGTGGGGAATTAGGGGTTCTTCAAAGCAGAGAGAGCTGGATGCAAATGGTAGGAAGGTAACGACAGTGGAGGAACGCATGATTGTTGTGCTGAGATGGGAGTTTTCTGTGCTACAATTAACTAGGTCTTTTTAAAGTTTTACTTACAGTCGGATGCTGCATTGCCTCTCTATAGGATGTTTTTTGATAGTGAACAAGCCATGGTAAGTGACAGCTGTGTTTTGTATATTCAGAGCTTGCATGCAGCAGTGCTCTCAGCTGTTATTCTTAATTTGCTCCAAGTAAAACCCACTAATCCTGGGTGGGGAGCTGTCTGGAAGGGTTTTTGGAGATGATGGGGTGTGGAACCTGTGCATGGGTTTGAAAAGCGAATGGCGAACGCTTTCTTGAAGCTTTCCAGTCTGCCCCACTCTGCCTTATGAGAGAGATCCATTTTCTGCTCCTGTTGGCTCCATAGGCTGCCACCTGCATCGCCGCTGTCCCCTTGCTGTGCTGGCTGGCACGGCTCTGCTGCCTTTTCCCCTCCTGCATTTGCTTTTTCCATAACAAAATACCTTTATTTTTTCATTTTCTCTTCCCTTTTGTACTTTTTCCCCTGGTGACTCTATTTTAGCAAAGACTGGGGTCACCAAGGATGTCACAGTTCAGCCAGCTGATGTAGTGAGATGTAATAAGCTGCACTTCTGGATGCTAAAGTGTTTCCGCTTAGATGGCCCTGTAATTTAATAATGCAGAGGTGGTTACTTGCTCAGTCAGGGGGGTAGCTTCTTTAATTTAAAGCAGGATTGCTTGCACAATAACATTGAAGCATGATTGTTTCAGTTTTGATTGCAGTACTTCAGTCCCAGGTTTAGTACTTAAAAAATAAACATTTTCTGATGGATTTTCTTTAAGTTGTTCTTAACTTGCACAGAAAAAAATAACTTTGGGAGATGCTTTGTAGGGAGATGGAGCAGCTTATAGGGGATCAAAATAGTTGTAGGGAGCCAAGTTTTTGGTTCCACAAATCTTTCTTTGGTGGAAAAAAAAACCCCACCAAAATAACCAAAAACACTGTTCTTTGTAATCCCTGTCTCTAAATGCCACAGCTCTTTGACATTCTTCCTCCCTTTTTGATGGTGCAGGTAGCAACGCAGGCTGTGTGGCTGTTGAATTTCCCTTTTATCAGCGTGTGCTGCCTCCTGCATCACAGGGAGGCCTTTGTGTGCTGGGCTTGGCAGGAGGCTGCTTCTCCCTTCCTAGGGGCAGGCAGTAGGCGTGACAGCTCTGTGTACAGCACTGGGATTGTCATCCGCTGCTCCAGACAGATCAGCCAGTCACCTGCTGCACAATGTCTTCCTATTTTTATGTAAAAATGTTTCTTTCAAGCTGGAGGTGGGTTGTGGTGTTCATTAAGATATAAGAGGCGATGGCATAATTTGAGGTGAGCTTACGGTGTCCGGTTAGCGGGACTGTGCCTGACGTGTCAGAACATCCTTGTTCTGAGCTCTGGAGAGCTGGAAATGGGTTTTCCCCATTAAACACCCCCCACCCCCATGAAATGGATTTGATTTACACGGGCAAGTCAGTTCTGGGCAGCATGAGGTCCCTGCCACCACTGCTGTGCTGTGTATGTGCAGCTGGGCTGGGAGGGCAAGCTGCAGCTGGAATTCAGCAGAGTGCAGCCCATGCCTTGTAATGTTAGGATTTTGTCAAGGTTCAGCCATTAGGCACGCATTTTGTGTTTCTTTCCAGTTTGACTCGTGTCTTTCCTGTCACTTGGTTGGCTGAAATGACATTTGTGCCTTACTGGTGCTGCTAGAGCAGATCCAACCTCTGTTCACAGCAGAATGTAAAACTCCCTGCAGTTAAAATAGCATGATTTATATCTCACATGTAAACTACACTTCAGTGTTGGTGTGGAAGTTTGCCAGGTATGCATCCCGTCTGCTTCCATGACCTCCACGGGACTAATGCAAATAGCAGTTGACTTTGGATAATTTGATGTTATTTAGCTCATTAATTTATGTCAGTCAAAAGACAGGAGGACTTTTCTGCCAGCAATAAATTATTTTCTGGTATTGATTTACTGGTAGTGACGTGGAAGAATGAGGAATGACATTTAGTATGGCTGTGTCAGAAACGATTATCTTAATATGTCCATGGTCACGTGTTGACAATAGCTGCCATGTTGCTCCCATGACAGAGAGCCCACGGTGTCACACAGCGGTAACCGGTGGGCAGTGCTGGTTTTGCACTCCAGCAGCACTGTCAGTCTCTGAGTCAGCTGGGATTGCTACATACTCCTCAGAAGAGGGTTTTTCTGGTTCCAGCAACACTGTCAGGTCCTGGCTGTGCCTCCCAGCCATCTGGCCACGTCTCATTGCATTCGAAGAATGCTGCCGGGCACGTTTCACTTTATCCTTCTCCAGCCTGGGCTGCCCTTGAGTGGAGGGAGGCTGGGCCTGCAGGGCTGGGGCTGGGTATGGATCCTGCCCTGCTGTGGGTCCGGCTGCCTTCCAGCAGCATGTGGCTGTCTTTGCTTCATTATGTACCTATTTCACTTCTAATCTGTTTCTCAGATGACGTTTTTCTTTTCTTACCGCTATCTAGTATTCCTTTGGGAGTTGCAGAATTTTCTGTGCATTTTCAAAGGCTTTGTTTTGCGGCGTTTGGAAGAAATGTGCCTACAGTGCGTTCTGTAAAAGTTTCTATGCATATTAAAAAAAATAATCCATGAAGGTCTCGTCTGCCAGAGATTATACAATGAGACCTTTGAGTTTGCATGAAGCATCTTGTTTGCAGAATGGAGGTCTTTGCTGTGATGCTCAGTTATTGCAGATGAGAGGTCTGTGCAAGGCCCATTAATTTTCCATCAGCGCTGTGTTAGTAGGTCCCAGGAGTTCTGTTATTGATGGTGGATGTTTGCCGTTGCCAATACCAGGTAGAACAATCTCTCACTTCACAATGTTGCCGTTGAGTGTTTCCTTGCTTTTGATGGTACTTAATGCTTCCTTTTATTTCGCTTAATCTGTTAATCCTGAAGGCTTCCTAGATTTCAGAGTGCAAGTTTATTATATACAAAGCTGATTTGCTTTTAGTGAAGAGAATATGCAAAACAAAAAATCTGTCTGGCCTGAAGTTACATAAACAAAGAAGAATGGAGTGCTCAGTGTTTCTGTGCAGGTGTGCTGGATATTTGCATGGGCATCCATAGAGAATGTCCCGCAGTTATGGTCTGTGGCATTTTTCTGTACATTCATTTCATTCAAAGTAGTCAGACAGTTTTTATGGCTCTGTTTTTAATTCTATATCCTTAGAAATGAATATTTATAATAGATGCTGCATTATGTGTAATCTGCTTATGTTACTTACTTTGTTACCTATCCTGTGGCCTTTTACATAAATTATGTGATTAAGAGTTAGCTTTTCAGGAGGAAATAAATGCTAATTGTATGTAATAAACCTACTTAGTGAAATCTGCAGCTCTGCTACATAGAATGAAGAGTCATTTGGTTGTTGTGTACCCATAGTTTAATATATTCTACATTTATTTATTTATTTATTTAAAAAATCTTTAGTGCTCTATTTATTCTGCCACTGTAATTTATCAGAAGTTAGAGCAGCTGACTCGGACACGTTCAAATTTGTGGACAGAGAGACATTAGGCTTCTTGAAGTTTCCTGGGGAAGGGATGGTCTGCTGCCTGTATGGGTTCTTCCAAGGTCAGGAGCACAACACACACGTGCCAGATCAAACTGGATTTGAGAGAAGTAGTAGTCAGGAGCATGGCACCTTCATAGGAACTGGCTGCTTTTTGAGAAAGAAAATTAAAGATGCAAAGGCAATTTATTGGAATAAAAAGAAATGACGTGATTGTTCCAAATGGAGTGTATCTGCATGAATCAAAAAAGCCTAAGTCTGAACAGATGGAACATGACAAAAAATGAAGCTTTTTCACTCATTTCCTCAGCTTTATTTCTTGTTCTCTGCCTGGCAAATATTCGTGTGCCATGATTGGTAGATTGGAATGGGATTTATTTAATTGAACGTTAGCTGTTAAATTCAGCCCTAGTCACTGGATGTGTATTGAATCATCCCTGGAGATTCCTGTTTTATAAGCCTATTTTAGGATCCAATGAATCACCATCTGAAGGTGCCTGTCTCTTATTGCTGATTCCAAAGGAAGCATCAGTCATTCCTGCAGAATAAATGTCAGTTGTATATATGGCTGAAATTAAGTATCGTGAATCTGAACTCGTGACCAAATGAGAAAAACCAACACCTTCCTTTCTAAAGTGAACAGAGCTGAAACAGTTACTCCAAAAGTGAAAGCCTTCCGCTTCCCATCTCCTCTAGTTCATTTGCACTGGTTCCTTCTAGCATGCATCTCACCAAGCATTTATGTGCACTTGCATTTATTAGGTGTCCTTTCAATTTAACACTATGCTGGCAGCTAACGTGGGATTGCCACTGGATATTGATCTGCATGGCTTTAGTATTTCAGAGCAACCTTTGGCTTATGAAGTTTCAGGAAAGAGCTTGCAGTTCAGCAGTGTTTAATGTATCTACTTGATTGTTTCCCAAGGTGGTTGTTTTGGGGAGATTGTAATTGTTTGTCCTGCAGTATCACCTTTTCTTTGATACTGTATAGAAACAAAAGGACCACTTGAAACAAGTTGCAAAGGCTATTACTAAACACAGTTCTTTCTACATTTTTTACTTGGCTATTTGAATGTTTTAATAGTCTTGTAAGCGCTACATCTTTTTCTCTGTTGGATGCTTTCCATTTCCAACACAGATATTTCTTTTTCTGTAAGGCACCAGAGTCACAAATGCACGCAGTGAATTGCCTGCGGGCTGTCAGACACTTGCACAGACAGGATTTCCACAGCAAAATTGAAAGTCCAAACTCTTCTATTAACTACCAGCACGCCATTGCCTTCCTGCATTCCCAGCAGCCACACATTACTCATCGTCCTCCTCACTTTGCAGGTGGCAGGAGCAGCTCGGGGCTTCGTTCAGACCAGTTCCACATAGTTAGGGTAGAAGCTGGTGCCCCTTGGAAGTCTGTTTGCTGTCCTGACTATGCATTGAAATTTGTTTGAGTTTATAAAAAGCAATTTTACTTTCCAATTAAAGATTCAGAAACCGTTAAATGAAATATATACAAAGCAAGTTAACAGCCCCTTCACTTCAGCCCTCATTTCTTTAATTTTCTGAAGAAGTTACTAGTGTACAAATATAGCTTGGCTAAGAACTATAATTTAAAAAATGACCTGGGTTTGCTAAAATTGCATCTCCTTCCACATGAGAATGCAGTGATTTGATTGCACTTTGCTTTTGTGTCTCTCCCATAGTAGATTTCTCTGAAGTGTAAAAAATGTAAGAGAAAGAAACAAAGTGGCACATCAGGACATATTATTTTGTGAAGTTACGTGACAAAGTGGCGTTTGGGTTGGATTAAAACTATTGCTTACATTTTCTAAGTGCCTGCATTTCGTCTGCCTTCCTCTGCGGGAAGCTGGCAGTGAGCTGGAGGAGCGGTAGTGGTGGGCTGTGTGCTGAGCAGGCAGGCATGGAAACCAGCCTTGGGAGGGCACAGTGTCTCTTACATGTTTGAAGAGCCCAGTGTGGCAGTTCTGAGGCAGTGTGTGCCGGCAGGAAGTTCTCTGGCTGCAGATGTTACTGAAGAAGAGCTAAAATATCTCTGAGGTGAGAATGGAGTCTGTGGGAGGAATAATTGCATGCACCGGTACAAGTTGGGGGATGACCTGCTGGGGAGGAGCTCTGTGGAGAGGGACCTGGGTGTCCTGGTGGACGACAGGTTGGCCATTAGCCAGCAGTGTGCCTTTGTGGCCAAAAAGGCCAGTGGCATTCTGGGGTGCATTAAAAAGAGCATGACCAGCAGGTCGAGGGAGGTGATCCTCCCCCTTTCCTCTGCCCTGGTAAGGCCTCATCTGGAGTACTGTGTCCAGTTCTGGGCTCCCCAGTACAAAAAAGACAGGGATCTCTTGGAAAGAGTCCAGCGGAGGGCCACAAAGATGGTGAAGGGCCTGGAGCATTTCCCCTATGAAGAAAGGCTGAGTGAACTGGGTCTGTTTAGCCTTGAGAAAAGAAGTCTGAGAGGGGACCTGATCCGGGTCTATGAATATCTAAGGTGTGGGGGGCAGAGTGGCGAGGCCAGACTGTTTTCAGCAGTGTGTGAAGACA